TTCAGGGCAGGTTTGGCTGGCTTGAGTTGTGGGGATCCAACCACAGCAACCTGAGCCTGACTGCTTTGTTGAAGCAGCCACTTAAAGAACTGAGCTAAGAGGAAGGCCCCCTGGAGGAGCACTGTTTGAGACTGTGAGTTAGCCGAAGTTTCCCAGAGGGATAGAGCAGTGGGGGCCCCTGCACACACTCTTATCAGAGCCCACAGTGCTACAGTAGGCCGCCCACCCCCACCCCGTTTCCTCTGGTCCTCTCTGCTGAATCACTGGGCCTCTCACCACCACATCCCAGCATGGCCCTGGTCCTGCAGCTGCTGCCTCTACTGCTGGCCAGGGCCCATGGGGACGCAGGGGGTAAGCAGCCCTGGGAAACAGCCCAAGACCACGTGGAGGAAGGGGAGCCTAGGAGTGGATTGTGTGGGAAGGTCCAGTGGAGGAGGGCAGAGGAAAGAGGTGGGGTCGTCCATCCTGTGGTCTAGCTCTAACTGCCCACGCCCCTTGCGTGCCTCTCTAGCTTCTCTGGTCGGCCACCCTGGGGACCGGGTGAATCTCTCCTGTGCAGGAGTCTCATACCCCATCCGCTGGGCCTGGGCACCCAGCTTCCCCGCCTGCCGAGGCCTGTCCAAAGGCCGCCGCCCAATTCTGTGGGCCTCGGCCAGCGGGATCCCCACTGTGCCGTCCTTCCTGCCCTTCGCTGGCCGCCTGCGTTCCCTGGACCCAGCTGTCCGCCAGCTGGAGCTGCTCCTGAGTGCAGGGGACTCGGGTATCTTCATCTGCAAGGGCCACCAAGAAGAAGAGAGCCGCACGCTGCTTCACGTGGTGGGGGACACGGCTGATTGCAGGACCTCGGAGCCCAGTCACGGTAGGCGGAAGCTGGCAGCCACGGATGACTCCAGTCGGGCGCACGCCCTGGGGAAGTAGGGGACCCCGCTGAGCCCTGACCTCAGCATCCCCCCAACCCCACCCCCGCTTCCCCCAGGATCGGTGTTTCTCCAGGTGGTCATCCCTCTGCTGGGTGCGGGTCTGGCGCTGGGTGTGGGAGCTCTGGGCGTAGTTTGGTGGATGCGCAGGTGAGCGATGGGCGTGGCTGGGTGTCCACACAGGAGAGGGACAGGGTGTTTTGCGGTTGCGCTGGTGAATGGGGCGTGGCCTGGTTAGGTGGGTGTGGCCATAAACCGGGAGGCCCCGGCCCGAAGCTTGGAGGGTAGGGTTGGGGGTGTGGGGAGAGCTAGGGTTAGCGATCCGAGATCTCCACGCGGTTTGAAGAAGGCAAGAGGTCGGCACTGGACAGCAAGGTCGCAGGGCGCTGTGTGTGGCTCTGGCGGAAGGAACAGAGCCAGAGTGCGGCAGGATGCGAGCGTGGGCCGCTAAACGCGGAAAGGAGCCTACGCTGTTAGTGGGGGTCAGAACCTGCAAGTTGCACGGGTGTCGTGGGCCGAGGACAACCTCTTCGGCCAAGAAGAACCAGCATGACAAGACGGGCGACTCTCACAGGCTCCTCGCTCCCTCACAGGCGCGCGCCCCCGCCCCCGCTCCCGCCACTGCCCACATTTGGTAAGACGCCTGCTCCCCAAGTTTATTACCGCACCTCCCCGCCCTCAGCCGCGAGTCTGAGCCCTCGATGGGAGCAGACAAGTTGGTCACCTTTTCTCCATCCGTCAGCTCTGTCCCCCCCATATAGCTCCATTTGCGAAAGCAGAGTCCCAGACGCCCACGGAGGAAGGGGAGCAACCCGAGATTCTGGGGGACCTGGGCCAGGAGGAGCCGGTAAGGTCTGAGGATGGATAAGAAACCCTGGACAGAACGTCTGAGGAATGTAGACCAAGAGGGGGGTCCGGATCCCCAGGGAGCCAGGCCACTGAATCTGCCTGCCTTCCTCCCTCGCCTCTAGAGCCTGCTGTACGCAGATCTGGACTACATGGCTCTCAGGAGGCCCCGCCGGCTGTCCTCGGTGGTCCCTGCTGACGCGTCCACTGTCTATGCGGTTGTAGTTTGAAGGGCAGCCCTTAAGCCAGCCCTCCAGGGTGCTTCCCACCTGCTCTTTTTCTTGGCCTTTCCCCTGGAAGAGGGAGCCCAGAAATCAGGAGACCCGAGTTCCAGACTCTGCCACAGATGTCGCTCCTTCGGTTTCTCCTACAACCTCCAGGATTCCTTCACCACCAGGGTCTTCTCTGAGCCTGACTGAGCCCTGGCTCCCATCTGTCTCTCCAGAATCACAGGCTGCCAGTGATGTCCTCCTCAGCGCCATTCTTTAGCATTCATCTGGCTTGGCTTTGATCACCCCCTTCTTGAAGCAGTTTTACTTTGCTGCTGCTGTCTTCATTCTGAACTCCTCATTCCCTGGCCCAGCAATATGCCCCACAGGTCTAGGTTTGTTCTTTTCTTTTTATCCCTCTTCCCAAAACTTCTATCCACAGCCCATCTTCAGGCCTCATCTTTACAAATGGCCCCCAGAATTTTCTCCTGCCCAGCCCTAGTACTGTGCATCTGGCTGTCCCAGGCATTTGGCACACATGTCAAACCCAACTCAGGGTCTCTTGATGTAGAACCAGCTGACTTTGAACTCCCTATGTCACCCAGGCTGGCCTCAAACTCAATCTTCCTGCGTGCGCTTCCTGAGTGCTAGATTGCAGGCCTGAGCCACCAGGCCTGGCCCCTCCTCTGGATTCTCCTCCGAACAACCCAGTTGCCCAAACCAGAACCTGGGAGTCATGCACACCTCCTCCTCCTCTCACTCCCACACAACGAGCCATCAAGTCTTATCTTTCCCCTTAAGGTCACCACAAATCTACACCTATCTCCATGCCCAGAACTGACACCATAATGTACTTTCCCGATTTCCCTGCCCTCTTGGAAGCCAGGTAGACTTTCCCCAAGTACTAACCTGCTCCCCGCAGCCTTCTTTTGGAAGTTCAGTGTTTATCTCCCTACCCTTCCCTTCTGTTTCCTGGGGTTTTAGTACAAGGTACTGCAGTGATTTTTTTCACACATTAGCTTTTTTTTTTTTTTTTTTTGCAGTACTGGGGATCAAACTTGGGACCTTGCACTTGACAGGCAGGTGCTTATGCTGCTGAGCTATATCCCCAGCCCCCTCTCCAGGCTCATCTCTGTTGCCCTACAAGTACAACATGCCACTGTGGAAAATTTCTCCCCAGCCTCCAAATATGTTTTTGCCCTTTCTGCTTTCTACTGCTGGAATAATTCTCCTATGTCATTAGGACTCAATTCCAATGTATGGTTTGCGGAAAGTGGTTCCTGACCCCTCTTCCCTCATGCTGCACTTTGATGTCCTAGGAAGTCTACCTACTTTTCTCAGAGAACAACCTCCAGGGAATTATTCCATCACAACCCATCTTTCCATTTGTAAGAAACTTTCACGAATTCCCTGACATCAGGTGACACCTTTTTGATATAACTGCTGAGCCTCTCAGTAAATGAGTGAATGAAAACAAATGTCCCTGCAAGGTCCTGAGTTCAATCCCTGGTACCACAAAAAGAAAAAGAAAAAGAAAAGAAAAGAAAAAAAAAGAAATGTCCCTGGTAATAACATTTTTTAATTTTCTATAAAATAAAGGTGAACTAGTAATCTACCAGTGTCTGAATCATATGACATTTAGATAAATTCTGAGACTTGATGCACCCACATACGCCTTTTTCTGCTCTGGAATGCTGTCCATAATAGAAATTCTGACTGTCCAATTACCTACAGCAGGGTTGGGCAGTGAATGAGTAAGTGTCTAATGAATTTTTTTAACCAAAGAGGCCTCCTTCCCAAATACTTCCCAGGGTTTTAGCACTGTCCCATCCCTTTGCCCCAGTAACACACCAGCCACAGCTCAATCTAAAAGGCCAATTCTATTTTATTGCTTCTGAGAGACAGAACTCGCCCAGTGGCTGCTACTGTCCTTTTCCCCACTCTATGCCCTCCCTCTATCTTGGGGACTTGTCCCCACTACTCCCCATCCTCCACCTAACCCTCCTTCCCCGTCTACTCCATATGCTGCCCTACCCCTGGGCAAACACAGCCCCGAGGCCAGGTCCTTAGCTGTGGGGACGTGTGCTGAGCACCAGGCAGAGGGAGCTGAGCCCAGCACCAGCCTTCTCCAGTTCTGAGCAGGACACAGGTACCAGAGTGACATCAGAAAGCTTCTGCAATGCCTGCAGGGAGGATGTGGAGAGGGGACTAAGACCTGGAAGCTAGAGCCACACCCCCTTTCAGCCAGCTCACCGCAGTGAGCCCAGACTTCTAGAGAAGGTACCCTTCTGTCCTCCCACTAGGAAAGAGGAACCACCTGTCTGACTGGTGGCAGTGGTGATGAACTCTTGCCCTCTCACCTCCTGGCTGTTGGGCAGGTCCCCACCTCCCCGGTGAAGGAGGAAAGATGGTCCACCAGGCAACCCGGGGCGCAGAAAGAGGCAGTCAGCAGCTGCGTCATCCGGGAGGGTCAGGGAGGCATAAGGGTGATCAGTCAGTGCTGCCATTGCCTGAGAAAAGAAAGAGGAAGCGTTCTGTCTCAGCTGCTCCACAACGGTCTACCGAACTAGGAGTCCTCCTCAGGGTTGGCAAGAGATGCATTTGTCAAATAACACAGGCAAGCACACAGCGCTTCCTGCATGTCCCAGGCTGCTCTCAGTGCTTTTACTACTTCAGTTCTAAGCACTCTATAGTTTCTTTTTTTTTTTTTAATTTTATTTATTTATGTGTGTGTGTGTGTATGTGTGTGTGGCCAGCTCAGCCCACCAGGGGGCGGGGCTGGCTGGCATGTGGTGCTGGGGGATTGAACCATGGTCCCTGTGCTTTGCTAAGCTTGTTCTAAGTAGGTGCTTTAGACCACTGAGCCATCTCACCAGCCCCTCTAGTTTCTTTTGCTAATTTCCACCTCCTGGTTACATGCAGTTCTTTTCACCTACAACCCACTTCTCTTCTCCTATCTGCTGGTCCCACACCACCCACATATCAGAGCTTCAGTGCCACTTTAGGGGTTTCTTGGAACTCTAGAAGAGCAGATGCGTCTCCCCCTCTTCCCTGGTCTCCCTGCCCCCTGTCCCATCATGGGCCCTTTTGCTTTCTCCGGTGCAAGCAGCTCAGGACGGCCGAGTGCTGAGCTGTCAGTGAGCCTGCGCCTCCGCTGGAGCCACGCCCACGCTTGGCCCCGCCCCGCCGCTCCTCACCCTGACCGCCTTCTGGGCAGCCTCGCTGCTGCCTGCCACCACGGTGCGGGGTCCCCCCATGCCGCAGAGGCCGCGCAGGTGGGAGGGGCCCGACACTGGCACGGTGGAGACGGCGAAGTCCTAGAGAACAAGGGGAGCTGTTCAGGGCTTGCTGGAGGCCTGAGGGGTGCCTCTCCCACACAGGTGCCCTCAGCCTCATCCTTCCCCGGGGACCCTAGCCATCCTCCCTGGGGGGAGCCGCACTCACCCGGAAAGTGTCCGCCACGATCTCAGCTCCTCGGTGGTTGGTCCACTTGGAGAGGCCTACGAAAAACTCCCGGCCTGCGCCCGGGACGGTGGGACAGTTTGAGGGTTGGATGAGACAGAGCCGGGCCCGAGCTCGCCCAGTCTCCCAAACTTCCCCTGAGGAGATCTAAGGGTGCCGGCCACACCAGCAGCCTCACCAGTGAAGAGGACGTCAGTGCCATCCAGCGTTGCGGTTTCATCACCCATCTCCACGATTCGGAGCCCCAAGTCCTGCAGGGCTTTGCGGACTCCTTCAACCTTAGGCGAGGGGCAGAGAGCAGGAGGCTGAGCCACCCTCACCCCCAGCTCCTCCCCGGATCCCATCGCACCATGCCCTGGCCCCCACCTCTGGTCTTCGCGCCGGGCTCCAGGGCCGCGTGATTAGGGCCGTGTCCCCTTGGATCACGGCCGTGTCCCCGAGCAGTGGTCCCAGCGGCAGTGATTCTTCAGGAGGCAGTTCTAGCAGCTGTAGTCCCAATCGCTGCCTCAGTTTACCCCCCAGCACCCCATGCTCCCTCTGAGCTTTGGCCAGGTCCAGAGGCGGAAGGCCAGCCACCGCAGCCTCCCCGGATCCCAGGCTCTCAGGGACACCCCGGATCAGGGCATGGGAGCAGCGTCCCAGCCCCTCCCCCGGCGGCCCCATCCCATGCACACCGATGCCCCTTCCGGTTGCTGATTTCTGTTTTCCCTCTTTCTACTTCACTCGTCTGGAAGAAGAGACAGAAAGCGGGAGCGGGAGGGGGGAAAAAGATAAGCAGAGCAGGGCGTGGGGTGAGGGAGAGTGCACCGTGTCCTCCCGCTATCTCTAGGAGCCCCTCCCACCCGCCCCACGCCCTCCAGGCCTCCCTCCCCTGCGCACCCCGCAACCCCGCGTTGTTGCTTCTTGAAGAGGAGCCCAAGGGGCAGACTGAGATCCCTAATCTCCAAAACACCTGTTGCCCCTGCTCGGGGGCTTTCTGAGGTCCCGGCCGAGCGCCCCTCTTGGCAGCCACTAGGATGCGCTCACTCCCCAAAAATGCGGCGGCCCCGCCCCCTTAACCCTCAGCTGCTCGCCCCTGGAGGGACCCGAAGTCGGGCCGGGGACCCACGGGGGTTAAGGGGCAGGAGGAGAAAGTGAGAGGCGAGTCAGGCCAGGGGGTCGGAAGTCCTGGACGCCCCAAGGAGAAAGGGGGAGAGGGCGGGGAGAGAGGACTTAGATAGAGCCTAAGGGGTTAAGCATCCTCTCCACCCCGGCCGGTCACGCTGCCCCTGTCGCGACCCGGTATAAACCAGACCGAGTCCCGGAGGACTGGGAGAGGTCTAAAGCGAAATGCAAGGGGCGGGGAGCTGGGGCGTGGCTCTGGGAGCGGGCACCACTCGGGACTCCAGGACCCCGCACCCGTGTGCATCTCTCCCCAAAGTCCACCCCGCCCAGCCCCGCACCCAAATGCCGGTTCCCGCTCGCTCTGTCAGAAGGCACAGGCTCAGCACGCCGAAACTCCAGCCCCTAGTAGTCCAGGGGAGCCCTTTCCCCAGACTCACCTCCTGTGGTCACCCCCACTCCAGCGGCAGCGTGATCTGGGCGGGGCCCCACCCCACAAGGCAGAGTTGGGAGGGGAGTCCTAGTCTTCAAGGTCAGGAGACTGGGCGCTCCGGGTCTGAAGGGGTCTCGGGCCAGGCGAGCTCACGTAGCACGGTGGGGCGGGGGCGCGCCGGTCTGGCGGCTCCGGGGCATTGTCTAAGCGGGACGGGGCGGGGCCTAGAGGCCCCGCCCACTCAGCCGCGCTAGACCCCGCCCGCGAGCTGAGCTCGGGCCCACCGGATCTGCTAGCTCTGGCGGTGGGGATGCAAAAGCGGCATGGACCACAGGGCCACAAAGCCGACGGGCACTGAGGGCGCCCCCACCAGACACCTAGTACTTCGTGGCTGGCCTCCGCCCAGCGCTCAACATCCCTGGCCCTCCCCTCATTCTGTTTCAACCACACTTCAAGCCTTCTTTGTGTAGAAACAACACGAGTTTGAGTCTGCATTTTATTACTGAAATACTTGTCCTACCCACCCACCCCACAATAAAAATCTTACCCTTGACCCTGCCCCACCCCCAGGCACCCGCCCACCCACCAGGCACAAGCGTGCGGGGCTCAGGCAGGAGGCCACTGTGGAGTGCGCCCTCACCAGGGCCTCTGAGACCCGGGAGGAAGGTGGGTGAAGGGGCCTGAACTCCGCCAGCCCCGCCCTACTTGAGGGCCTTGGCCACTTGCTCATAGGCCAATTCGATCTCCTCATCATCTGGACAGGTGGAGGCAAATTCTTCCCGGGCGTAAGCATTGCTCAAGTACCGATGCACTCCCTGAAAGGCCTCGGGGATGGTGAAGCCTCTGTACTTCTTACAGACCACCTGGGAGAGGGGAGGGAGGGCAGAGCAACAGATTACGGTCAGAGCCGCCATGCTGGCTTTCCTTCCTACTAAGAACTGCCTGATAAAATCACACTTCTTTCTTGTCCAAGCATTCAAGAACCTCTGCCTTCTGGCTATCTCCTACAAGAAATATTCCAAATTAGCTCCTCTACTGTAACATCTCCATCCTTCTCTTCCCTTACTGAAATCCCAGTTCATTAATAGCCAGACCCTTGGGGCACAGAGCCACACACCTGTGACCCCTGCACTCAGGAGGCTGAGGCAGGAGAATTACCACGAATTGAAGTCTAGCCTGGACTACAAAGCGAGACCCAGTTTCAAAACAAACAAAAAATCCAGACCCTTTCTAGACCACCCAATTTATAGGTACAACTTTTTTCCTCTTAATTTTTTAAATTTATTTTGCAGTAGTGGAAACTGAATTTACACCCCTTCTTTAAATTTTAAGGGGCCGGTGAGATAGCTCAGCAGTCTAAAGCGCCTGCTTAGGCAAACTCAGGCAGGTGCAGGGGACCATGATTTGCTCCCCAGCACCTTGGGATCACTGAGTCAGAGCTGCATAGTTAAGTTCCTGTACCAAATACATAAATGAGGGCCAGGGAGATGGCTCAGTAGGAATAAGCACTTCTCTGGCAAGCGCAAGGGCCTGAGTTCAAACCCTGGTTCCGAAAAAAAAAAAAAAAAAAAAAAAAAAGTAGGTTGGATAAATATATTGTCTTTTAAAAAAATACATAAATGATTAAATAAATAATAAGTTTTAAGACGGGCTGGGGACATAGTTCAGCGACACAGCATCTGCCTGGCTAGCATAAGGTTGTGTGTGAGTTCAATTCCTGATACCAAAAAATAAATTGAGACAGGGTCTCACTAAGTCACATGGCCTGGGCCTGAACATGCCATTTTCCCGCCTGAATGTCCCACAGTGCTGGGATGCAAGTGTGTGCTACCACACCTGGCTGACAGTCTTGTTTTTGATTTTGAGACAGAGTCAAGCTGTTCTCAACTCAGAGCAATCCTCCTACCGCAGCTTCCTAAGTGCTGGGATTATAGCTGTGGGCTACTATGCCTGGGTCCTTGCTGGTTTTTTTTTTTTTTTTTTATAATGTATTTAGTACAGGGTTTACAGGGTCTCACTACACAGATCAGACTTGTACTGATCCCCCTGTTTTCAGCCTCCCAAGCACTGGGATTACGGGTGTGCGACCTCACCCAGTCTCAGTTGTCCTCTCAGCGCATCCGGGGAGGCAGGGCCAGCACAGCACACTGGGGATAGAACCCTAGTCCCAAAGCTCTGCCTAAGCAGGCGCTTTAGTTCACTGAGCTATCTGGCTGGCCCCTTGCTCTGGTTTTTAAAACAAAATTTGATACAGGCTAGAGATGTAGCCCAGTGGTAGAATACAATCTTACCATGTGCAAAAGCTGGGTTTCATCCCAAACGAGATATAATTCATAGACCATGAAATTCTGATGGTCTACAGTGACTTTGTTTCACCATTTGACTTCTAGTCTCTTTGCTGTATTAGACATGGAGCCCAGGGCTTTATGTGCCAGGCAAGCATCCAACCACTCTGCTATAAACCCAGCCCAGTCACATACTTAACTTTCTCATGAGAATATTTTATTGTGTATTCAAACTTTTTTTTTTTTTTTTTTTTTGCAGAGCTAGGGATTGAACTCAGGCCCTTGCGCTTGCCAGGGAAGCGCTTATTGTACTGAGCCATCTCCCAGCCCAGTGTTTGTCTTTCAATGTCCACTACACAAGGTTCATTACTCAGCTGTACAGTCTGCTGACATTGGGCACATGTTCCCTAAACTTCAACATCGCTTTAAAGCTGACAATGACGTGACAAAAACATGGCAAACAGCAGTTTTCATCTCTGTCAAGAGGAAGGGGAGTTGGAAGCTGGATGCTTTAGGGAAAGCCTGCTCTTGTCTGACCCCAGGATGCAACACTCTGGATCTAGTACTAGTGGTTGAACCCAGAAGCTTTGAACTGAGCTACATCACGAGACCTTTTTTCAATTTTGAGACAGTCTTGCTACGTTGCCTAGGTTGGACTCTCTAACATGTGACTCTCCTGCTTCAGACTTTAGACAGCTAGGCCTACGGGCATATGCCACCATGTTCAGCTTGATCTGAGACTCCACAGTGATATAAAGACAGGCAGAGTCTCCTGGAAGTTAATGCCAGAATGTGTTACTCTCAGCCAGACCATGAGCGCCTGCAGACTGTAGCACGGAACGGAATTCTCTGAAGTCAGCAACAGCTGCTGGGGACAGGGTAGGTCGTGCCACTGACAGCAGTGTACAGCCCACCCCAGGAAAGCAGCCGCCCTTGCAACAGGTGTCATAGGAAGGCCACCAGGAGTCCTGCAGCCACCCAAGCAGCCAGGCCCCCACAGTGACTGCCCACCTGCACGATGTGCAGCTTTGGCAACAGGTTGCAGTCAGCCAGGGTGAGCTCGTTGCCATCCAGGAATTTCCTCCGAGAGACGCCCTCGTCTTCTGCACTGGTCTCATCCACTTCTTCTGGGAGCGGGGATATCAAGTAATTGTCTAAAACCTTCAGGGCCTTCAGGAGCCCCTTCTCCAGGTCTGTGTGAGAGAGGGCATGGTGAAACGGGAAGAGCAAGAGAGCTGTTCGAAGAACACCCGCAGGTACAATGGCGGAGCCGGTGTGAAGTAACAGCAAATACTAACGTAGTCTGCTGTGTTAGTCTTCAGCACTTTTTTTTCCTTTCGGTGGTGCTGAAGATCCAACCCAGGACCTTGCACATGCTAAGGAGGCACTCGACCACGCCCTTACTCTAAGCACTTTAGAAATGAACACTTACAGGGCCAGAGAGAGCTCCGTGGCTTAAGTGCCTACCTGGCAAGCACGAGGTCCAGAGTTGAATCCCTTCTATCGTGAAAGAAGGAAAGAAAGAGAGTGAGCGAGTAAGTGAAAGAGCGCAAGCAGGGGCGATGGTGCAGTAGAATAAGTGCTTGTCTGGCAAGCCCAAGGGCCTGAGTTCAATCCCCAGTTCTGCCAAAAAAAGAAAAAAGAAAGAAAGAAAGGACAGACAGATTTGCTGCCAACCAGATGCAGTATCACACACCTGTAATCCCAGCACTCAGGAGGTTGAGGCAGGATTGTTGCACATTCAAGCCAGCCTGGGCTACAAAGCGAGCTCAAAGCCAGCCTGAACTGCATAGTGAGACCCTGCCTTCATTTCTGTCTTTGTTTTTATGTATTTAGTACAGGGTCTACAGGGCCTCACTACCTAGATTAAACACGTAGTGATCCTGCTTTCAGCCTCCCATACACTGGGATTACAGGTTTGCACCACTATGTCCAGTTTCAATCGCCATCTTTTTTTTTTTTTGTATCTTAGGGAAGGGTCTAACAGGGTGTTGAGGGTCTCATTACTAGATAGGACTCAGTAGTGATCCGCCCGCTTACAGCCTTCCAAGAGCTGGGATTACAGTTCTGTACTACCACACCCAGTCGCAATTGCCATCTCAGGGAGCCCCCTAAGGGGGCTGGCTGGCACATCATGCTGGGGACTGAACCCCAGTCCCTGAATCTGCCTAAGCAGACACTTTGTAGCCAGCCCTCCCTACCTTCAAAAGACCAAAGAGAGAGAGACAGAGAGAGAGAGAGAGAGAGAGAGAGAGAGAGAGAGAGAAACACTTGCTTAATTCTTATACCAACCCAAGAACAGGTATTACTATCCTCATTTTAGAAATCTATAATGGATTTACCCAGGTGGTTGAATGACCTGCTCAGAGTTAGATTCATACCCAGGTAGTTAGAATGGTTATTTTAGTTTGCCTTTTTTAAAAAAATTATTTGGTTGTCACAGGGTCTCACTATAAAACTTGGGACTCATAGTGATCCTCCTGTTTTCAGCCTCCCCAGTGCTGGGACTACAAGAATACGCTCCACCCACCAGGACTCTGGGCAGCTCAGCCGGCCCTGGGGGCAGGGCCGGCACCACATATGGTGCTGGGGATCCAATCGCATCCCTGTACTTGCCTAAGTAGGCACTTTAGCCTGCTGAGCTATCTTGAGGACCCCTACTTCACCTTTTTGAGACAGGGTTTCACTGGGTAGTTCAGGCTGGCCTTGAACTCACTTTGTAACCCAGGCTGGCATCAAATGTTCAGCAATCCTCCTGCCTCAGCCTCCTGAGTGCTGGGATTACAGGCATGCAAGACCATACCCAGATTTCTGAATGGTTCTTTAAAGGCAATCTTAGGGCTGGCTAAATAGCTCAGTGGATTAAATTGGTTGCAAGCAGGGGCAGGGGCCAGGGGTTCCATCCCTGGGCCTGCTGAGCTGGCCATGCGCTCCAGGGTGCTGTGACAGCAGTTGAGACTAGGAGGCATGGTGGCACACACCTGTAATCCCAGTTCTTGGGAAGCTGTAAACAGGCAGATCACTATAAGTCCGATCTAGTAGTGAGACCCTGAATATACTGCAGACCCTTCCCTAAAATACAAATAAATAAAAAAATAAAAATAAAGGCAATTAGGGCCAGAGAGAGAGCTCAGTGTAATAAGTGCTTGCCTGGCAAGCATAAGGGCTTGAGTTCAATCTCTGGTTCCACAAAAAAAATAAATAAATAAAGGCAATCTTATTCTGCCAGAAAACAGGCCAGCAGCCAACTACTGTCCCAAGGGGACAGAAGAGGCTGGGGAACAAATGAGAGAGATTTGAAAGTCTCTACGGCCAGGCACAGGATAAAGCATAACTAGAGGGTGGGAAAGGTTGGCCAACACCTCTCCACCGCTGATATCTCATCCTTCAGGTGACTCAGGCCCCAGTCCTCTGCCCCTCAGACTCACTGTCATTGAGTGCTGGGTTTGAATTCTTGATGTAGGCAGAAAATTTGGCAAAGATGTCCAGCCCTGCAGTGTTGGACTCAGGGTTCAGAGCCGCCAGTTTGGGGTACCTGAAAGTCATTGGGAGAAACAAGGTAAGAGATCTCGCAGGGAGCCTCAGCTAACTCCTGGACGCGCCCCACCACCATTTTCCCCTCCCTCATCCTCTCTGTTCTCCAGTTTCCCAGTGCTCCCCATCTTCTCCCCTGGTCCTGTACCTGGGCGGGCACAGCATAGCCTCCAGAAACTCCTCGATCTTGTTAGTGTCCGTGTGGACTTCCGTGCCGTACAGCAGGAATGGGAGCTGCCCTCCTGGGCAAAGCTTCTGCACGGTCTCCGTGCGCCTGGGGAAGGGGCCGGATGGCAGGTCAGGGAAGAGGCGCCAAGAAACCCGCCCAGGGAAGGAGGGAAGGGAAGACAGAATGTGCGCTGGGCTCCAGACGGGGAAGTCAGGAAGGAAGGACCTGTGGGCCGGTAGGTGCCTATGCATTTGAGGATGAAAGAGGAACAGAAGTGAGCCCACCTCTTGGTGTCCACGGTGGTGACATTGAAGGTGACTCCTTTGAGCCAGAGCACCATGAACAGTCTCTGGGAGAAGGGGCAGTTCCCGATCTTGGCTCCATCGCTGCCGGCCTGAAAAACAACACCCAAGTCGGTTAGACTTGGTGCAGCCCTCAGCCTACTGTGTGGGCCTTCCCCCTAAAAGCCACCTCCAGGGCAGATCAGTGAGAAATTTGTCAGCAAAAGCGGGGTTCTGGTTTCCTGAAGATTAAGACAGGAGGAAAGAGGCAGCGGAAATAGGTCTTGAACTAGGAGGGCGTGAGTCCTAGAGAGATAAAAGCTCTGGCGAGGCCAGCGTCGTTGCCTAGAGCCCTGGATTCCCAAGTCCCTGAGTCACCTGGAGTCTGGGCACAGGAGATGGGCGGGGCTTAGGAGCTGGGGTTCCGTTCACCACACCTCCATCCACCGCGTACCAGACTCCTGGCGGAAGACCCAAGGGGTCTGAGGCCCGGCCTGGAGAAGGGGCTGCCCTCTAATTGGCAAGCGGTGACCTCATCCCCCACGGACACCTCCCCCGGCTGAGTGTGATTCATCTCAGTGTCTCGGCCTCAGCGCTTCCTTCCTGGCCAGGGGGTGGGGGAGGGGGTGGGGTGGGGGAGGGGGTGGGGTGGGGTGGGGTGGGGGGTGGGGCCCGGGTGGCCGGGTCCTAGCGCCCCGTTTCATCCCTTGGGCCCCCCTACAAACTTCTTCACGGAGCACTCAGGCTGAAATCTCTGCACACAGCCTCACCCAGGAGTAAAAATAGCTCTAGAGGCCAGCAAGGGGATGAGGTGGGGACCACACCTAAAGGGCGGCCCCCGGGCTCCACGTCCAGCTAGCTAAGGCCAGGGAGAGGGAACGGCTGCCGGGGAAACCCAGCCTTCGGGAGGGGAAAGGCGAAACAGACCGGAACTCACACAAAGACGCACGAACAAAAGGGCAAAGTGGAGACAGAGGCAGCGTGGAGAATAAACAGACACACCAGGGCCCAGCATCAGGCAGGAGGGGCACGGCGAGGTGGCGATGGGGAAGGTGGGGAAAGGGCGGCCAGGAGCGCCCAGGACCGCCGCGTGTGGTTCTGGTACCCACCTGCCACGGAACCAGCGCTGTCCACAGCGGGCTGGCGAGGCCTTTTCTCCTGGGTCTACAAACTGTATCAGAGCCCAACCCAGCTCTCCTCCTCCGGCCTCTCTCTGCCTATCCCAGCGTGGCCACCGCTAAACTCTCCCCCGCTTCCGGCGCTCTTTTTCTAGCTTACCAGGTCGAGGCGGGGTGTTACGCTCACCCCATCACCTCCCAGCCGCGTTTCCCAAACTCCACTCCCACTCTCTCTTTTCCTCCCTTGCCAATTCACCTCTTTCTACTCTCAGATTGTCAGCAACACACACTTTCTGGAACTCTCTCTGCCACACACCCGCGTGCACGCACGCACGCACACACACACACACACCCCTCCCCCGATCCTCCCGGCTCCCAGGGTCGCGCTAATGCGTCCCTCTGTCCTTCCCAAATCCTGCTAGGCTCACGCTCCGGTCCTTAGCACCCCACCCACCCGTCAGTCTCCTCGCTCCTGGAAACTCCTTTCCCCACTTTTCTCTCCCGTACAGGCCGCTGGAAACTTGCTCTACTTTAAACTTTTCGGGAGTCCAGCCCAGAACTGCGTCCCTGGGGACTTCCCCAGCTCGTGACCCCCGACCCCGCCGCGGCGAGCTGCACGTGGCCAGGTGGGGACAGGGAGGCCCGGGCCGGTGGCGGACTGGGCGGGACGGGGAGCCAGGATCGGCCGAGCGGGGCGCAGCGCCCTTACCTTCACGAACAGCTCAACCTGGGGCTGCTCCTCGGCCATGGCTGCGTCCGCACCAGGAAGCGCCGCGCCGGGGCTGGGAGGGGCGGCGGGAGGCGGGGCTCTGCTCGGGCTCCTGCGGCGGGCCGGGGCGCCCCGCCAGCGCCCAGCGCCTGTCGGCCGAGACCCACGCGTCGCACGGATGGACTGACCGACACGGCTTCTGGAGCACCTGTCCGGCGCACCCCAAGTCCGGCGCCGCGCGGCGGCCCCTCCCTGCGGGGCGGGAGGCGCTGACTCACCCGCCGGCCCCGCCCCAGCCCGGGACTCGCGGGTGGGTCGGTCGGGAGTGGGTGCGGAGAAGCGGGTGCCCTGCCGCCTCAAGGATCGGGATGGGGGCCCCTGGAGGAGGGGGCGCTGGGAACCTCGTCTCTGACCGCTCCTGGCGAAGTGCTTCTTCCTGCCTCAGTTTCCCTGCTTATTTAATCGGAAGGGTTGTCCACCTCCCAGGAGAAATTTGACACTAACGGCTGGAGCACGCCCATGAAGATGCGGAATGGAAAGGTTCCCCAATCTTTCTAGACACCAGTCCACATTCTGGGTTGCTACTCCGAAGGCTGAGGTACAAGAGTTCAAAGTTCAGGGGCAGCTAAGTAAGACTGTCTGGAAATGAAATAAAAAGGGCTGGGGATGTAGCCCAGCGTGTGTGAGGCCCTGGATCTAATTTCCAGCAAACCCCCAAACAAAAATAAAAACATCTTGCTAAAACCCTGATTCCCGAGCATTGGGAGTGGAATCTGGGGGAGGGTGTGTGTGAAAAGTAATGCAAGAATAAGGAGACCCGGAGGCCGGGCACTGGGGAAGCAGGAAGCCGAGCTGTGGGGCTTCCTGGCAGGGCCTTCTCTCCCGTAGCTTGGCGGGCACTAATGCTTCCATTTCTGTCCCCATCCTGGGCCCCTTCCTGTGCCTCTTGCCCTGTTGTGGCTGGTGGGTTGCCTTGGAGACGGGTGCTGGAGTAGTTGTCACTGCACTAGGGTAGAGCTGCGCTGAACCTGGGGTGGGTAGGGACGATCGCTGTTCCTATCACCGGAATAAAGCAAAGGTCAGACAGCAGAGTGTGTGTGGAATCCAGGTGGACACGTGCGAGAGTAAATAGGAAGGACGTCATAAGGTGGCCCTCTTCTTTCCCCAGTAACTTTGATTTGGAAGGTGCAACCAAACAGTGATCTGAAAAAGCACCTATTCCAGCCCCCACCTCCGAGTCTCCTGTCCACCATCCCTGCTTTCCTTCTCACCACCTACAAAAAGGCCCACAGTTTCCCAGCGGGCTGCAAACTTCACACAAAAGAGAGCTTGAAGGAACAGTGGGGTGGAGCGACCATACTCTTTGCTAGAAACCAGCACTTAGTGGCTTCCTGCTGTGCTTCCTCTTTTGTAGGGCTTCCCTAGGGAAAGGCTTATTTCTCTTTGCCCCGGAAGACAGGGGAGGCTTCAATGAACCTCCCTGCTTAGAGCCTCGTCTGTCCCTGAGTGGGCACTAAATATGTGGTGTTTAGGTACTTGAATTGCAACATTCTGTAAGGATGTAGAATACCTTTGTGTGAGGTGTGGGGTGTGGGGTGTGTGTGTGTGTGTGAATCCCTCCATGGTGAGCCCCCAAATCTGCACATAGGACTGTTTGCTACTAATGGGAGGTGACCAAAGCAGCCCTACTTTCCGGGGTCCTCCTGGTGAGCATCCCCCAGAGGCTCTGTCGCATGAAGATCTGAGATTTCAGGAAAATGGGCCCAGTGTTAAACTCAGACAGGTCTGGCAGCCTCTGCCCTGCCTCTTTTCTACTACACCTTTATAGATACAGCCCTTCATCACCAATATTGACTTTGGCTGGCTGATGTGGCTGCCCTCAAGGTATCCTTGCCTTAGGCTCCAGGTCAGGGCCAGTTCTGTCCCGTCTGGGGTGGGTCAGGGGTACCTCATAGCGCTGAGGCCAGTGCCACACCCTAAATCCTGGAGAAGTTTCCCTCATTTCATTCCTGGCCCCTGCTTTTCTCCTATCACACTATCTTTTTCCTCTATGGGCTTCTCTTTCACTCCCTACCCCTCCTTGCTTGGTAAACCAGTCCCTAATCATTTCACAGCCCACACTGGAAGGCGTGTTCCTCCCTGCCACACCCAGAGCTGTCACCAGCCTCCTCGGGGTTTCCATAGTTTCATGGCTCAACATTTTGCTGTGGGTAACCATTAACTGGACTCTATAGCAGCTCTCTGCCTTTCTCCCTGCAAGGAATTTTCTAATCACTGGTCAGCATGGCCGGGTCATTTCTGTCTGTCCCCACCTTTTAGATATGATGGCCACATCTTCCCATCTCAGGGTACCAAGAACAAAGCTGAGGAGGAAGAGGTACTTAAGGAATTTTTTTTTTTTTTGTACTAGATATACAAGCAAGCTAGGGCCTTAGAAATGAGCTATATTTATTTATTTTTTAATTTGATTTTTTGTATGTTTTGGAACCAGAGATTGAACTCAGGCACTTGTGCTTGCCAGGCAAGTGCCTAGTCTACTGATCTATCTCCCTGGCCCCTTATTTTTAAATTTGAGACAGGATCTTATTAAATTACCTAGGCTGTGCTTGAACTTGCAATCTTCTGGCCTCAGCCTCTGGTGTAGCAGGGACAACAGGTGAGCCACCACACCTGGCTAGTTAAGGCATTTTAAAAAACTGTATGTTTGGCCCTCACAACCTCCTTCCTGCCGTGAGGGGGGGACGGTGGGGAGAGGGAGGGAGAACTGGGCAGAGCCTAATAGTGGTATAAGTGTTGTTACTAGGTTTATATGTTTTTTGTTTGCTTTTTTTTTTTTTTAACATTTATTTAGTGTGTGTGTGTGTGTGTGTGTGTGTGTGTGTGGCCAGCTCAGCCCACCAGGGGGCGGGGGCCGGCTGGCATGTGGTGCTGGAGGATCGAACCGCGGTCCCTGTGCTTTACCACGCTTGTTCCAAGTAGGTGCTTTAGACCACTGAGCCATCTCACCAGCCCCGGTTTATATGTTTTGGAATATGGTATCATTCAAATATTTCCAACTGCTCTTTAGCAGCTGAAATAATTAATTGGGCCCCATAGTGGCTTCGCGTGTGGGGGTGGTTATGACCGTACAGCTAGGAAACACAGAAAGAAGGGCTGGGCTGCTTCTTAGTTCTACATATTTATTTAAAACACTCATGTAGTTCTTACTTTGTTTGCCAAACACAGTTCTAAGTTCCTTATAAACATTAACTCGGAAGATACAAACATTAACCTAGAGTTGTTGGCATAGGTTGAATTAAAATTGTGTCTCTCCATCCTCCAGGAGGACAAAAGTACCTCTGGCCCTTTAAGGTCGGCCTCCTGTCCCATTCCCGCGGACCCCTTCCTTGGACGTCTAGCACAACTTCCGACCTTCTCTCAGGCTCCACCCCACGTCAATCAAAGCCTGGAAACGCCTAGGGTTCGAGGCCTGGCTGCTAAGCAACGGCAGAAGGCGGGAAGTTTAAATGTTATGGCACCGCCCCCGGGACCGAAAGGACCAATCAGCGCACCGCCTCTCTGAGCAAGCGGCCCCCGCCTCCCTCTTGCTTCGTCAGAGCTCCAGGCAGGATCCCGGGTCCTCCGACGCGCGAGGCTCGGAGGGCGGAGCCTGCGCGCGCATACCCCTGCGTCTCGCGCCGGCCACCCCTCTCGCAGACGCGCTGTAATTGGGTCGGTGGGGCGGCGTCTTGCCAATTGCGACCCGGGTGACCACAAAGGCGGGAAAACACCAAGAGTTGGCGGAAGTGTAGGGTGGGGGGGACAGGAGCTTGAGGCTGTGAGGGGGAGCGTGGCGGGCAAGGCGGCGAGGTTAGTGGCGCCTGTCTCGCCCCTCAGGGTCCTGAGGCTTGCGTGTGACAGAAATGAGGGTGGGGTGCGTGGAGTGTCAGGGGCGCGTGAGTAAAATAACCGAGAAGTCCACACAGGGTGCCCCCGGCCTGTGGCTGCAGCTCGCCACGCCCCTCCCAGCGCCCCCTGGAAGTCCCCAGTGGGATTGCTTTTCTCTGAGGGAAATGTCCCTTCTGAGCCCCTTCCTCTTGTCCCCCGCAGCGCCGCCAGCACATGGCCTCCCGCGCAGCGGCCCCGGGCGCGACGCCACAGGGACCGGGACAGTGGGCGGCCCCAGCCGGCTTCCCCAGCCTGGGCCCGGAGGAAGCCGACGAGGAGCAGGAGGAGGAGGAGGAGGAGCCCGTCGAGGTCGCGTGCAGCCGGGAGTCGATCGGGATAAAAAGGCTGGGAGGGAGTCTGTCACCCACCACCTGCCTCAGTTTACCAAATGAGGAAATGGTTGATGGCGAGTGGTGCAAACACTACTGTCTTCCGTGCTGGACAGATCCACCTGTGTGTGCTGTGGAATTCAGCACACCTGGGCATTGCCTACTATGACACCAGCGACTCAACCGTCTACTTCATGCCCGATGCGCCAGACCACGAGAGCCTCAAGCTTCTCCAGAGAGGTGGGGACGGAACCGGGGTTGAAAGGTTCTCGGGATTGAAAGCATATTTCACCTATATGTCCTCACCTGACGATGTATTTCATAGTTGACTACCAGAGACCCCTTGTGTTGAGTCTTAGAATTCATTTGCTTACTCAATATTTATTAGGTGTGTTCAGTGTATTAAGGGCAGCAGATAGAGTCCCGAGCAAATCATTCCTTCAGGGATTTATAGTCTAGTGACAGTCTTCAGGGCATCCCTCTTCCACTACTCTGACAATCTCTTTTTTTGTTTTGCTTTTTTTTTTTTTTTAATGTATTTAGTACAAGGTCTACAGGGTCTCACAACACAGATCAGACTTGTAGTGATCCTCAAGCACTAGGATTACAGGCACGTGCCACCATGCCCAGTCTCAATTGCCCTCTCTGTGCGCACCCGGGGGAACCCTGGTCCCTGCATCTGCCTAAACAGGCGCTTTAATCTGCTGAGCTATCTGGCTGGCCCTCACTCTGATAATCTTTTTTTTTTTTAAACATTTATTGTGCGTGTGTGGCCAGCTCAGCCCACCAGGGGGCGGGGCTGGCTGGCATGTGGTGCTGGGGGATCGAACCGCGGTCCCTGTGCTTTGCCAAGCTTGTTCCAAGTAGGTGCTTTAGACCACTGAGCCATCTTGCCAGCCCCACACTCTGATAATCTTAATACTTTTTTTTTTCTAAATCTCATTCCTCACTTTTACCTATATTCCCAATGTGTGATCCCACCCTACTCTTAGAGGGAAGAAGTAAGTTCTTGAGGGGGGGGGTATTGAGGAAAGTACTGTGGGTTTCTTCTTAGTCCAGTGATAAAAGATCCTTAAACTCACTGGATGTGGTAATGCACACCTGGAATTCACTTAGAAAACTGAGGCAGGAGGATCACTTTGAGTTTGAGACCAGTTTGGGGTACACAGGCATGGCCAGCCTGAATTTCATAGTGAGACCCTATCTAATAAAACATACACAGCAATCCTTAAACTCATTCTCTCCTTTTTCCAAGTTCTGGATGAAGTTAATCCCCGGACTGTTGTTACGAGTGCCAAACAGGATGAGAATATGGCTCATTTTCTAGGGAGGCTTGGTAAGAACTGTACCAGAAAGAAGGAAGATGGAAAAGGACTAATATATGGAATGTTCTAGAAGGCTGGAATTAGATGGGAGGAAGTGTGGGGCAGAGGTGGAAGGACCGAGAGGCACAGAATGATGGAATTTTTTTTTCTTTATCCCCCCACACAGCCTCTCAAGAACACAGAGAGCCAAGGAAACCTGAAATCATATTGCTACCAAGTGTGGATTTTGGTATCTCTTTCCTTTTGCTTTATAACGTCCTGTCCCAGCGCCCCCACCCTTTCTCCTTATTCCACCCAGAGATCTCCCCTCAGCCCTACCTCATCCTGAATATGTTCTCATGCTCTATGACTGATCTCCCCAAGATTTCTCCTGCTCTCCTCCTTAATAATCTTTGGTTAAACTCATCTAAGGGTGAGGGCCACCTCTGAAATGAGGAAGTAATGACAATTTTTTTTTTTTTTTTTTTTTTCCGGAACCAGGGATTGAACTCAGGCCCTTGCACTTTTCAGGGAAGCACTTATTTCACTGAGCCATCTCCCCGGCCCAGTAATGACAATTTGAACAGCTTGATTGTTGAACTTTTTCCCCTTTAAGCCAGTTATTTGTTGCTTTAAAAAAAAGGGGGGGGGGGATACTGCCTTAGTGACACTGATGACCCGTAAGACGCTTTCATACTCTTCCCAGGCTTAGTACAGGATGTTCCCAGGCGTTATGTCCTAGACATTAGTGTTGCTAGCTAGCTCCTCTATCAATACAGTCTTTTTGACCCCAAATCCCCAATTCCAGACATACCTCTTTATCTCCTGAGTCATTAGTCATTCTCACGTTATGCCCTCAACCAAACATATTGAGATTATATGCAGAAGCCAGGTGTGGTGGTGTATGCCTTAATCCCAGCACTCAGGAGGATCATTGCAAGTTCGAGACCAGTCTGGGCTACAAAGTGAGCTCAAGGCCAGCCTGAACTGTATGGTGAAACCTTGTCTCATAAAAGAAAAAGAAGGGCTGGTGAGATGGCTCAGTGGTCTAAAGCACCTACTTGGAACAAGCTTAGCAAACCACAGGGACCACGGTTCAATCCCTCAGCACCACATGCCAGCCAGCCCCGCCCCGTGGTGGGCTGAGCTGGCCACACACACACACACACACACACACACACACACTAAATAAATGTAAAAAGAAAGAAAAAGAAAAGAAAACAAATATATATATATATATATATATATATATATTAAAAGGATACTGCCTGTACACAGACAGCTCAAGCAAGTGAAGTGCCCCCCTCAACTCTCTCTATTGCTAGTTTCTTTTCTTTTTTTTTTTTTTTTTTTTTTTTGGCAGAACAGGGGATTGAACTCAGGCCCTTGAGCTTGCCAGGGAAGCACTTATTCCACTGAGCCATCTCCCTGGCCCCGCTAGTTTCTAATAGAATGAAAAAATTGGGCTATAAGACCTTTCCTACCCCTTCCTCCGGAAAATAGGTCTGGAGATAAGCAAACAGCGCCTCCTTTCTGGAAACTACGCCTTCATCCCAGAGTCTATGACAGCCACTGAGAAGATCCTCTTCCTCTCCTCCATTATTCCCTTCGACTGCCTCCTCACAGTGAGCTGGGTCCAGGGGTTGAGTCTGGGGTGCAGCCTCAAGGAAGGCACAAGCACCCCGATTCTAGGGTTGAGTTCTGGAAGGTACTGGCCTCGCCCTGGGAAGTAATAGTTTTCCTTGATGCGGTCTAGGATGGTAGCAGTTACCCCAACTGCACTGCCATTTCCCCCCAGGTTCGGGCACTTGGAGGACTGCTCAAGTTCCTAGGTCGACGAAGAATTGGGGTTGAACTGGAAGACTCTAACGTCAGTGTCCCTATCTTGGGCTTTAAGAAATTTGCATTGTAGGTGATTTGTCCTAACTTCAATGTTACATGAGACTAGGAGGCCTAAAAAGGAAGCTGGGGTTGGGGGTGAAGGGCAGTGATCCAGCAGGAGAGGTGCTGTAGGTCACAGGAGGGGCTGTGAAGCTCTGGAGGAAAGACTGAAATGATATTTGCAAAGGGGAGGCCAAGTGGTGGAGCTTTGTAATACATCCAGACTCCATACCTGAGCCATCTCCCTTATTTTCTGTCCTCAGAACCCATCTTGTGAGCATAGATCAAGACACCTACAGGTGAGGAGGTGGAGGCAGACAGCTGTCTCTGGCGAGAGAGGATTGAGATTAATGCTCTGATAATCCCAATGAGGCTCTATTTCCCTAATCCTAGGGTTATTAAGAATTCTCTTTATGAAGGAAAGGGGGGGCGAAGGCTAAGGAAGGAAAGTACAAAGGTACCACCCGCCCTCCTTTCCTTTTTGTTTTCCTTTTTTTCTCTTGTAATGCTGGAGATAGAGACCAGGCCCTGGTACAGAACTCAGGCCCTTGCTAGGCAAGGGTTCTACCATGGAACTGCTTGCTCAGCCTGTGATTCCTTTTCTTTTACTTTTTTCTTTTTCTATTTATTTATTTATTTATTTATTTACTTAGTGGAACCGGGGATAGAACTCAGACCCTTGCACTTGCCAAGGAAGCACTTATTCCACCGAGCCATCTCCCCGTCTCCTCTTTTTTCTTTTTTTAAATGTATTTGGGGGCTGGGAGATAGCTCAGTAGAATAAGTGCCTGCCTGGTAAGCACAGGGTCCTGAGTTCAATCCCCAGTACTGAAAAAAAAAAATGTATTTGGTTGTTGCAGGGTCTCACTACACAGCTCCGACTGGTGGTGACCCACCTGCTTTCAGCCTCCCCAGCACTGGGATTTCAGGGGTGTGCCACCATGCCCAGTCTCCATGGCCAGCTCAGCCTGCCCTGGGGAGGGGCCTGCGTGGCTTGTGGTACCAGGGATTGAACCATGATCTCTGCATTTCCCTAAGCGAGAGCTTGGTCCGCTGAGCTATTTCTCCAGCCCTGACCCTTCTTTTCTAAAGGGAGAAACTGAGGAAAAGAAAAGTGAGGAAGTAGGGACTGGGGGAATAGCTCAGTGGCATAAGTGCCTGCCTTGAAAGTGCAAGGTCCCAAGTTTGATCCCTGATCATTGCAAGTTCAAGACCAGCCTGGGCTACAAAGTGAGCTCAAGGCCAGCCTGAACTGCATAGTGGGACCCTGCCCCAAAAACAGAAGGAAGGAAGGAAGGAAGGAAGGAAGGAAGGAAGGAAGGAAGGAAGGAGAGAAAGAAAGAAAGAAAGAAAGAAAGAAAGAAAGAAAGAAAGAAAGAAAGATGAACCTTATACCAAGACTGTTTGGGGAGAATGTCTCCAGTCTTCATTCTGCTTTCTCAGTCAATTCCTATTCCTTTCATGAATCCATCTTATGAGGGCTGGGGACATAGCTCCGAGGCATAAGCACCTACTGGCAGGCACAAGGTCCTGAGTTTGGTCTCTGGCCCTACATGCCATGCTGGGCCCCCAAACCCCAGGCACACCAACCTGGCCCCAGAACCGGCTGTGGTGGTGCACATCTGTAATCCCAGCATGTGGGAGGTTGAGACAGGAAGATCACTGTGAGTTCTAGACCAGCCTGGAGGCTACAAAAGTGAGCGCCAGGCTGGTCTGAACTGCATAGCGAGACCCTATCTCAAAAACAAATAAACAAAAAACCCCATCCAGGTTATGGGCCACAGATATAGCTCAGCAGCACCCCATTTGCCTAGAAAGCACAAAATAACTGAGTTTGATTCCTGGTATCAAAAATAAAATAAAATCCAAGTCACCTCACACTTCTCCATTTCTCCCTGGCAGTGTTCTACAGATTTTCAAGAGCGAGTCTCATCCCTCAGTGTACAAAGTGGCCAGTGGACTGAAGGAGGGGCTCAGCCTCTTTGGTACGTGTGCCCAGTGCCTCAGAAATGCAGTTCTCTCCACAGATGGGTCCCGGCCCCTCCTCCCATGTCCCCCATTCCGTGTCTCGAGAGTCGGGCCTTCTTGTCTGTGTCCTGGCTCTGACCTCACACTTCTCCGCATATGCTGGATGGTGCTGCCGACACTGTGTTCATCCCAAGTGCGTGAACGTTTCTGCCAGTTGGGTCCCTGTTAAGTAGATCCAGCAGAGAGCTACCCAACTACTTCACTACCTCTCTGAATCCATATAGAATCTGGCTGTCTCTGGCTTTAGGATATGAGATGTAACCCCAAATATCCATTGTCTCGGTGGGTTGGGCCTCATTTTGCATCCCTGTGAGGGGCTGTGTGTGAGGCTTGGCGAGGCCTGCCTCGTGTGTTCTTTTGAGTGTTCCCGTGAGAGTTGATCCTTTCCCCCTTCTCTGTGTGCACCACTCCTGGCCAAGATCTGGGCCAGACATCAGCACTGGCTGCGTCTGTGTCCTGTGTGTGGCCAGCCCACCTCACAGGAGCTCCCCTCCCGTCCACACCCCACAGGAATCCTCAACAGATGCCGCTGTAAGTGGGGAGAGAAACTGCTGAGGTGAGTGCGTCTCAGACACGCGCCGCACACCGGCGCATCAGTAGCACGTACAGGAGACCCTGGTGCCTACTAACAGCACTCTGCAGATGCACACGCACCACGCCGTCCAGTTGTAGTCCTAAAACAGCTTCTCTAAACTGGGTGTAGGGACCAGGGAGATGGCTCAGTAGAATAAGCACTCGCCTGGCGAGTGCAAGGATCTGAGTTCAATCCCTGGTTCCGCAAAAATAAATAAATAAATAAATAAATAAATAAATAAATAAATAATAAACTGGGTGTGGTGGCATATGCCTGTCATCCCAGCACTCGGGAGGCTGAGGCACGCAGGTCATTGTGAGTTTGAGACCAGCCCAGGCTACAAAATGAGCTCAAGGCCTAAGTTCAATCCCCAGTTCAAAACCAGAAAAATACTTCAATACATGTAACCCTTACAGTAACCCATGTAGTCACTGATACCCACATTTTATGTTGTCAGCACAGACAGACATATTCCTGTTGCTGATACAAAAAAGAGCTAGATACAGTGGCGCATGCCTATAGTCAGGAAGGTGAGCCAGGAGGATTTTCATGAGTGTGAGGTAGCCTGAACTACAGAGTGAGACCCTGTCTAAAAAAAAAAAAGAAAAGAAAAGAAAAAAATCTCCATAAAATACTAATTAACACAGAGCTATATTTTTAATTATAAAAACATTCAGGGCTAGGGACATAACTCAATGGCATAAGCACCTGCCTATTAAGCACAGGTCCCAAGTTTAATCCCCAGGACCACAATAAATAAATAAATATATGAATACATAAATAAATAAAAATACACTTCAGTCAGGTGTAATGTGGCACACCTGTGATCTCAGCACTCTGGGAGGCTGAGGCAGGAGGATCAAACATTTGAGCCCATCCTAGGCAACTCAACAATTTAGTAAGATTTGTCTCAAAATTTTTTAAAAGTTAAATTTTGTTTTTTGTATTTTAGGGATGGGTCTACAGGGTTTTCAGGGTCTCTACTAGATTGGACTCATAGTGATGCCCCTGTTTAGAGTTTCCCAAGAGTTGGGATTACAGGCACGTGCCATCACAGCCAGTCTCAATTACCATATCAGCACCAACGCGGCAGGCCAGGGGACTGAACCCCCGGCCCGAGCCTGCTTTCAGGCATTTCAGTCCACTGAGCTATTTGGCTGGCCCTAAATTTTTTTTTTTTTAAATTTTGTTAAATAGTTGGAAACAAACAAAAAAGGGGCCAGGGAGATGGCTCAGTGGAATAAGGGCTTCCCTGGCAAGCACAAGGGCCTGAGTTCAATCCCTAGTTCTGCCAAAAAAAAAAAAAAGCAAAAAACAAAAAAAAAACACAAATAGTTGGGCTTGGTGGTGTATGCTTATAATCCCAGCACTGGAGAGGTTGAGGCAGGAAGATCATTTCAAGTTC